GGTGCACTGAAGAGGCTGCAGCTAGCTTGCAGTGCTTCATCCTAACCCGTGGCGCCACCAGTGAGGTCCTCGTGGCGCCACCAGTGAGGTCCTGCTTTATATAAAAACGAGGTAAAATTGTGATTACTTGGAACTCAAGGTCATTTTTATACTTAATTTATTTTAGAAGAGCTGTCACTCAGAAGAAAATTAAGTTCAAATTAGACACTTGGAAAATGCTTGTGAAGAATTGTATCAATATTTCTAACCAGTTGTGTCTAAGTAATCTTAAATGGACACTTGACAGTGTTTCAGTTAACCTATAATTCCTTTTTTTTTCTTTGTGCATTTTTTTTTTATTATTACAAAAGTTATTTTTACATCATTTTGCACATTTTTTCCCCCATTTCGATTGTAACCCCCACGGGTTTCCCATCACCAAATCACCCGTGTGCCACCACCATAGTCCACTGCATTTCCCTCCCTTCCCTCCTCCACCCCCGTTTTTGATCCCATTCCCCATTCCACCCACACAAAATGTCTCTGGTATATGGTTGTTCATTATTTTTGTTATTTTCTCGCCTGGTGCATTATACTCCTGCTTTGAGTGAAACCATCCAGTATTTTTCTTTCTCTTTGTGGCTTATCTCACTAAGCATGATCTTTTCCAGCTCCATCCATGTTTGCTACAAAAGACATGTGTTTCTCTTTTTTGGTTGCTGAGTAATATTCCATTGCATATATGTACCACATCTTTTTTATCCAGTCATCTACTTTTGGGCATTTGGGCTGCTTCCATGTTTTTCCAGTTGTAAATAAGCAGCAATAAACATGGGGGTACAAGTATCTTTTTCAATCAGTGTTTTTGTGTCTTTTGGGTAGATACCCTAGGAGTGGGATTGCTGGGTCGTAGGGAAGCTCCATGTTTAGCAGTTTGAGGAACCTCCAAACAGTTTTCCATAGTGGTTGTAGTGAAATTAATAAAACAACATACCCCAGGTGCACTGTCAAAATTTATCCTAATCTTGCTATGGTGTTGTCTGGTGGCTTTTATTTCACATATAGTTAAATGATAACACTTCGAGGATGGGAGCAGGAGTTTCATTCATCTCCCCTGTTTGGCACCCATTTTGTTGACCAGCTCTGGGGGAGATGTGTGTTGGAAATCTGGTGGGGTCTTGAGAACCATTTTCACCTCCCTCTTTTCCAAGACTGAAATAACTTGCTATTTCTTGACAATGGTTTGGTCGTTTCCATTTTCTCCTTACTACTCAATTCCTTTCTAGTAGGTAGTCATAATTTTAAATGGCTTCACCAGGTTGGGGATAGAAGTCAGTTTCCTTGATAATGTTTTAAACTAGTGTGCTTTGTTAAATTACTAATGATTTTTTTAAAAAAAATTTATGCATACAGAAATGGGGTACAGGCCAGAGGTTTAGGGGCGGTAAGGATTCACCGGAGTCAGACTGGGAAGCAGAACAGGCAGATCGACAAAGTACACTGCTGAGGGGAGCAGTGGGTAAGACAGGAGAAGTCTGCTGTGCCATGTGGATTACCTCTGGGTCAGGGATCAGACTCGCACTGAAGTGGCCGCGGCTTGGCTTAGCTTAGTTTAGCTTCACAATGTAGCACTGCAAGCGGCTGCGCCACCAGGGAGGGCCCTACTAGTAGGTTTTTTTCATTTGAAATACAGGCTGTTAGTCATACAGCTTAAAAACAATTTCCTTGTGTGCCAGTGGTAGCGGTTAACTTGTCTTTTTCTGACCCTTGGTCACAGTTTAAGTATAGTTTTTAGTTTACCTAACGATTGAAGAGATCTTTGTAGGACACTTGAATCATATTTAGGAAGATACTGTCGTTTAAATGGTAAATGGGGATTGAAAAACCATTGAGCGATATGTTGTTTTAAGGGTTATTTTTTTTTTTTAAAGATTTATTTATTTGTGCATACAGAACTGGGGTACAGGCCAGAGGCTCAGGGGCGGTGAGAGGCTTCACCAGAGACAGAGTGGGGAACAGAACAGGCAGATCGACGAAGTACACTGCTGAGGGGAGCAGCGGGTGGGTCAGGAGAGGTCTGCCACGCCATGTGGTCACCTCCGGGGCAGGCGGGAATCGAACTCATGCGGAAGCGGCTCTAGATTCTCAGTGCTGTGCTTTAACCCGCTGCGCCACCAGGGAGGGCCCAAGGGTTATTTTATCATTTTTTATTCTTCGATGCAGGTTTTTGAAATTTAATTTCTGCATAAATGTGAAAATGAAATGTAACCAAAATTAATAGTGCTCAGCTTAGATTTACTTGTTGTATCTAGCTGCTAGTTTGTTTGAATCCAGATTGTTTTATGGCACCATTATATATTTATGGAGGGGAAAAAAAAACCTCACAATATTTACACAGACAAAATGTATCCTCATGATTGTAGAGATCATTTAGTTAGAAATTAGTTTTCTTCTAGGAAGTATTTATTGTTGCCCTCTGCAAAGGTGAATAGCAGGCTAAATAAATTAGGTCTAAAAGAAATCATCACATAGTAGTATTTTCTTTTTCTGTCTCACATGTTGACTTAGGTAAGTAAGATTTTGCTGGATTTTAGATGATACTTGGTTGCCTAAAACTGTCCAGTGATTTCCTTCTTGTTCAGGGTAAAAGTCCATAGTTCTATTATGACCTACAAGATTTCCTATCTTTTGGTCTCTTCCTACTCACTGATCCTTTCTCAGAAGAGTCTTTACTCTCATAAGCACACCAAGTTCTTTCTTGTATATATAAATCACTGTCCTTTGTGTCTCTTTTGTAGCGGCCCTTTCCCCAGATTTTCAGCTTTTGGCTCAAATATTTTAGGAAATGTACTTTCCTTACCAACGTAACTCTTCTGTTATACTTTAAAAAGAAAAAAGCAGAACTTTACAGTTTTGTTTCATTACACTTTTTTTTTTAGATTTTTGTTGGATTAATTAGCTGAGAACTCAAATTGCTTTATTTTGTTAGTCTAGTCTTACATTCCTAGACTAGTCTCTATTTAAGACTGATTTTCAGTCCTGCTTCAGTTAACTGATTGCATTGTTATTATAAAGATGAAATGAGTTAGTACATGTACAATACTTAAAGGCAGTCATGCACAATGTAGCAATATCTATATATATAAGCTGCTATTTTATTTTATCATTATATTAGTGATTTATGTAAGAATAAGTTTCTTACATAAAATAATGGAAACCTAAATATTTATATGTGCCATGTTTTTCTACTGAAAATAGAATTGGTTATGATAATGTCCATAATTATATTTCTTAAATGTATAATTTCTACATCATTTTAGAGATTGAATTGTGAATGTTAACCTTAAAACCTTATGTAAGCTTCATAATTGAAAACAAACATTTATTATGAGAAAACTTGGTGGGAATTTATGACAGTCTAGTATATGACTTATAGGTGAAATTACTTGCATTTGAATGTTTCTTTTCATATTTCTTAAGTTTCGCATTTTTCCTCAATAAAATAATCCCCGAATAGTCTCATTCTATATCATGTCCTAACTTAAGCCATGTTATAAAGCTAAGTAAATACATTTCTATTCAGAGTTAAGTTATCGTGGCTTATGGTTTTTTTGTTGTTGTTGTTGTTGTTTTTAATGTAGGGAACAATAGGTTTTATTAGAAGCATGGAGATTCAGTGGAATCACAGATGACTAAATGGTTTAATGAACATGGTGTAATAGTTAGCTGACTTTCATTTTTTTGGTCTACTGTTATGCATAGGTATTGTTTGTTTTGTATCTTGGATCTGCAAAAAATTGTGAAATATATTGGAACATTTTTGTGATTCAGTAACATTTATAGATTTAAATCTTATGGTGATTTAGAAGGTTTGTAGTCATTACTTATAATCAGTACAGTTTAGGCAGCAGTTCTCAACCAGGGGTGATTTGCCTCCCTGGAAAAATTTAGCATTGTCAAGAGTAAATTGTGTGTGTGTGTGTGTGTGTGCGTGCGTGTGCGCGCGCACACACACACATGCATAGACAGGATAGGAGAGAAGTGAGTGCTAGCTTCTAGTAGATAGAGGCCAGGGATGCTGCTAACGTTGTAGAGGACATCCCTCATGACAGAATGACTGAAAGCAAAGTGTCTGTAGTGCCAAGATTGAGAAACCCTGGTTTAGGCTTTAATGAGTTTGTCACAATTGTTCCTATTATGTGTATTTATCATAGGCACTAAAGGTAATTCTGAAATACTTAGAACTTCAGAATTTTTTTTTGAATGAAACAACTAGCTCTTGAACAAATGTTTGCTATGACGAATATGATTATAGGAGTGACTCCAGATGTATTTCTTGAAGTATAAGTTGTTTCACTGGCTGCAGTGACTTCAAGGGAGATTTAAAGAGTAGAGAAAGTTTTCAGTTAACCCTAGGCCTAGGAATTAAAAAATCTCAGTATCTGTTGCCTAATAGTGAAGTCAGATTATTTAGGGAAAAGGCAGTATGGCCTTTCTTTATGCTCTCTTTCTCTCCCCATTGTAAATGTCAACGCAGGCAGTGCAGACTTTAGGCTTGACTTAGGTGGTCACAACTTCCTCTCTCCCTACACCCTTGATTTGTAGGCATTCTTACAGCTGCTATCTATCTGGATCTTACTGATTAGATTGAGCTACTTATGAGCCCCTGCTTTCATGTCGGATACATATTTACAGTGTCAGAAAGTATCTCTAGTAAGAGTGAATTTTGTAGTTTATGGGAGGGTAGAATGTAACTTCTCAGAAAGTACAAGAACTGGAAAAGAAAGTATGTCTTTGATCAAAACCTTGGTAGAAAGACACTGCATTATTTATCCAGAATTGTGGCCCAGGCGAACTTAACAATTACTCAGCTCTTTAAAACTCAGCTTATTATTTTACAGCAGTGTGAATTAAATTTATCCTGGAATTAGTACCTGTATTTTTAGGTTAAGTTTTTGTATTTTTTGCTTAAACAAGATCTTCAGCTGATGAAGCCTCTTAAACTTGTTATTTTCTTACAGGTCTACTTCCCCAGCAGGACAGCATCATTCTCCTATATCTTCTAGGCATCACTCATCTTCCTCGCAATCAGGATCATCTATTCAAAGACACTCTCCTTCTCCTCGTCGAAAAAGAACTCCATCACCATCTTATCAGAGGACAATAACTCCACCATTAAGACGCTCTGCTTCTCCTTATCCTTCCCATTCTTTGTCTTCTCCTCCAAGAAAGCAAAGTCCCCCAAGACACCGCTCTCCAATGCGAGAGAAAGGGAGGCATGATCATGAACGAACTTCACAGTCTCATGACCGGCGTCATGAAAGGAGGGAAGGTATGTACTATCATTTATTTTCATTTTTTTTAGCGTTCATTTATTTAAATAGGTGTTTTATTTTTTTATTATAAAATTGGATCATCAGATTTATTGTCATAATTAGGGCTAGATGAGAACTATTATATTTTGTCTTTGTAATATACAAAGATTTTTTTTTTTTAAATATTATGCATACAGAACTGGGGTACTAGTAAGAGGTGCAGGAATGGTGAGAGGATTCACCAGAGAGAGTGGGTAGCAGAACTGGCAGATCGACAAAGTCCACTGCTAAGCAGTGGGTGGGTCAGGAGAGGTTTGCTGGGCCACGAGGGTCACCTCTGGGGCTGGGGATCGAACTCACACTGAAGCGGCTGTGGCTCATTTGCAGTGCTGCATCCTAACCCATTGCACCACCAGGGAGGGACCACAGAGGTTCTTAAGGGCAGTAGGTGTTTAAGGAACTGTGGGTATAAGCTTTTAAATATGTAAGTAGGCATTTTATACACACACACACACACACACACACACACACACACACACACACATATATATGTAGTGTGTGTGTATGTGTGTATGTATGTATGTGTGTATGTATGTATGTATGTATGTATAATCCCCACACTAACTTTCTTAAGGTGTTTTACTTGAATTCTCTGGATTTTTGATCATTTGATTTTTAGAGTATCACTAATTGCCTAATTAGTTCTTTAAAACAATAGAGAAGTTAAGGGAAGAAAAACAGCAAACCTCAGAGCTGAGTTTAAAAGCATCAGAGGTGAGTTCTGATAGAGATAAGGACTGAGGGAAATACTTAGAAGATTGTTGCAAAGCAAGTGATCCATTTTCCTGGTGTAATTCAATTATGAAGCAAAGTAGTTTCCTATCTACAGCTTGAAGAGTTAAGTTAGGCCCTCCCTGGTGGCCAGTGGGTTAAAGCACTGCACTAAAGAAGCTTAAGCCACTTCAATTCCCGCTTGCCCATGAGGAGATCCACGTGGCTGACCTCTCCTGATCCGCCCACTGCTCCCCTCAGCAGTGTACTTCGTCGATCTGCCTGTTCCGCTCCCCACTCTGTCCCTGGTGAATCCTCTTACCCTCTGCATCTCTGGCCTGTACCCCAGTTCTGTATGAATAAATAAAAATACATCTTAAAAAAGAAAAGTTAACTTTGCATTTGCCAGTCCTTGTTCAAGCTGAGATGGTACCATTACCTTTTTCTGTACATCCTATTTAAACTTCTTGTCATGATTTATTTAATTTAACAAGTCTTTTACCTAACTTCTCCTGAGTTATCATTTGAACATAAAAAATACTTAGGCAGTACTTGCTTACTTGCAACATTTCTCCTTAATATGTCTTCAAAAAGCCTCTCTGAGTATAGTACAACAGTCTCCAATGAAACATAATGAACTTATTTTCTTCCTATCAACAGTGTAAGTAATAATTAATCAAGTTATTTTATTCAAGAAAATGATGGATGCATAGTTAGGGATCAGAGAATTTTATAGAAGTTTTCCTTGTGTGCATTTGGAAGCAGATCAGCACAACAGTATTTATGGAACATTGATAAGATGGGAAAATTCTCTTATACCGATCTATTAATTTTAATAAGATATTTAACCAGTTGTCCTGGATTATATATAGTATATATTTAGCAATAGATTATTGAATGGTAACTATTTCAAAACATAATTCAGTAATTTAGCTCATTAATAAAGGAGAAGTAAGTATGCAGTGTATCTTTTTGACTAAACCATGTGTAAGTTTAGGTTCTTTATAAGGAAGGTGCTTCTTTAATCTCCCATTTAATAGATGTGGCGAATATTCCTTTCTAGTTAGAGATCATTTTCAGAAATAGTAATTTTAAAGGATGGCTATTATAAGTAAAGAAAAATATAGTAACTACTTGTAAAAACAGGTGTGGGCATACAAAAAGCACTAAGTGAGTGAGCACAATTTTGGGCATAGTTGGCTTTTGGAGGAGGACTACAAGAGATGCATTATACAAAAAGGGATGGAGATACAGTGGATTCCTATCTGGTGCTTCTCTCTTTACATGATATTTGTGGACTTGGGCATATTACAAAGTATTTGGGAATGAGATTAAGTTATTGTTGTGAGAATCTAGGGGGTCTTGTGGGTACTAGGTTTATGGATGTTTGAGAAAGTCTATAGACTAGTCACTGGGGGATAGAAAAAAGAGTAAATATACAGTATCCTAGGAATAAAGCTGCTATAGTTGCTTAAAAAACCTCCAATATTGGGGCATTTCCAGAGTAACAGCAAGTTTGGAGGAAAAATAGGATAGAATTTGTTCTTTGAAGTTTTCATGATAATTCTTTGACTTCATATCAAAACTCTTATATAATCAAATTATCCTTTTTGTGGACATTTTTTTTTGTGGACATTTTTATAGGCTAATTTTCTGTGAGATATGGCGTTGACTAGACCACTTAAACTCTGAACTTCATTAATAAAATGAAAATTTGGATTATCAGTGACATTCACTCTAGCTGTATAAAAACTGAAATTACGTCTTCATTTTTCTATGAGATGTTAGAAAATCCTTTTCTAAGTAAAGAAAACTTTAGACAGAATTGTGATTCCATTATACAGTTCAAGAAAAGATAGGTTGAAAACAAAATTTCTTTACTGACAAACTAACCAGCTATAGACTACTCTCAGATGCTTAAGTACATTTGAGGTGATCATGTATAGTACAGTCATAGTGTAATATTGGTAGAGCTCATTAAAGTAACTGCATCTGTGAATCTAAAAGTGGTTTCTAAGTAAGCCACTAGTGACATGAGGATTAGTGTATTTTCTCATTCTTTAAGATCTGTAAGTATAAGTAATTTGGGGTAGGAGAAGACAGTGTTCAGAGTTTATCCAAATGTTAATAGAATTATGTTTGGAATTTTACCTAAGGATTTTTTTTTTTTTTTTGCCCATGTTTTCTTCAGAGGATATGAATAATCGTTGTAATAAAGGTCTTTAAACTGTTAATTATGCTGTCTATAATTTCTCAAAATTTTGTGAAGGAAATTATGGTTACTTTCCAAAACTGCATTACAGAGACTAGAGGAAAAAGGGAAAGAGAAAAAGACACAAGGGAAGAACGAGAGTATGAACAAGATCAGAGTTCTTCTAGAGACCATAGAGATGACAGAGAACCTCGAGATGGTCGGGATCGGAGAGATGCCAGAGATACTAGAGACCGAAGGGAACTAAGAGACTCCAGAGACATTCGGGACTCCAGAGAAATGAGAGACTACAGCAGAGATAATAAAGAGAGCCGTGATCCAAGAGATTCTCGATCTGCTCGTGATGCTCACGATTACAGGGACCGTGAAAGTAGAGAGGTTCATCGAAAGGAGGATACGTATCAGGAAGAATCCCGAAGTTATGGCAGAAACCATTTGAGAGAAGAAAGTTCTCGTACTGAAATAAGGAGTGATTCCAGAAATGAGTCTCGAAGTGAAATTAGGAATGATCGAATGGGCAGAAGTAGGGGAAGAGGTCCAGAGTTACCTGAAAAGGGTAAGGTTTTTGATTTGCCAGTGAATTATATTTTATACATTCATATAAACATAATTAGCTCTCTTAAGGTTTCTTTTCTAACCATATTGTCCCATACATTTATTATCACTTTGTTTCAAAGTAATTTCAGTTAATTGAATTTTGATATTCTTGATAAAATCTGAATAGGAATTATTAGCCAAAATAGCAAAAGATAAAAGGGCCTGATCCATACCTTGTGATAACTACTCATGCCTATTATCTTGATTTAAAAGAACATTAAACAAATTGATATTAAACAAAAACATAGTCAAAAGTAATTTTTAGGAAATAGGAATACATATGATAAAATGATTAAAATGGGATGAAAGTGGTGGACTTTCAAAACTGATGGTGTGGAAAATGACTGATGTGCATTTTTCAGCATTTGTCCATCCTTGCCTTTTTTCTTATTTCTTTTAACACACTTACAATCACTTAATCAGTACTGATGTAAATGCATTTGACTATCTCCAAATTGCTTGGACTGAATTAACTTTGACCTCTCTCTTCCTTTCTCCCACTGTCCTGTCTCCCTTCTCCCAAAACATTGCTGTAGAATTCTGAGCACTTACATATTCCATGAATCTGCTGGCCTGTCTTGGTCAGTGCAACAGCTGTAGGTTGATAGTCTCTCACTGACACTGGCCCAGTTGTCCTGGGTATTCTTGGCCCTTTGCTTTTTCATTTTTATTTTTTAAATAAGTTATTGGTTCTTAAAATTTGATGAGAAACTTTGAATTTTGATCTCAAATATATTAAGTTTATCAATTTATGTATTTTTTTTCTATTAAGGTTTTATGCATATTTATCTCTGGGTACTCTCTTGTTTTCATTGCCATTGTAAATGGGATTTAAGAAAAGTCTTTTTTTATTTTAATAATGCATTCACTTGGTTCAAATATTCAAAGTCACAAAAGATAAAAAAAAAAATCTTAAATCCGACCTTTTGTTCCCCTCTTTTGCCAGTTTAATATATTTCTTTCCTCACAATATTTTACACAGGCAGATATATGTATGCCCATTCATTTCCTCTCTGTTTTGGAAATAGTTTTTTTAAACTTATATTTCAAAACAAAACTATTGCTCTCTGCCCTGTTGTAAACGTTTTACTGGAACTATAGACTGAGGTTATTGTAGTATTTATAGATTTCTGGTCGTCATTTTTTGGGAAGCAGTTGATGTAATAGATTTCTCTGAGAAATTGTTTTGGTTTTTTGTACAAAGATATTTCTAAATTTTTTTTTTCAGCCCTCTGTTAATGTCTCTAGTTATTACATTCCGTTATTTTTTTCTTAATCATGCCAGAAGTGGTGTCTTTTTTTAAGGCTGAACTGTGTTACTTGTGAAAAATACTTCATTTTCACTATAAACTGTAATCAGGTTAATAAAATATTTTTATTCATGATATTTTTGTGAGTTATACATAAGTCAGTAGTTTTTATTTTTTGGTTTGGGTTAACTGAATTGAGTCGTCTTGTTTTGTGATTCCATTATAGGGAAAACAGGGATTTTTGTTTACCCAAATTAGTCATTAGTGTTAATTTTCTGATCCAAATTTTAATAATCTTTCAACAATGATTATGACACTGTGGAATTCATATAAAGCACCTTTATATGTTATGGGGGAGAAAAAGTTGTGATTGATGAAACTTGTTGAATAAAGTAAATATAATAAACATTTGTGTGAATATTTTTTGTGTAGGAAGTCGAGGCACAAGAGGGTCTCAAATTGATAGTCACAGTGGTGGTAGCAACTATCATGACAGCTGGGAAACTCGCAGTAGCTATCCTGAAAGAGACAGATACCCTGAAAGAGACACTCGAGATCAAGCAAGGGATTCTTCCTTTGAGAGAAGACATGGAGAGAGGGATCGTCGTGACAACAGAGAAAGAGGTTTGTTGACTAGAATTCTACTAATGGTGGCCAGCATTGGGAGAACTAGTTATTTGAATCTATTTGCCTTTTTACATAAAATGTCTTTTTAAGATTTGTGTTTGATGCCACACTAGAAACATTACATTTACTCATATAACTTCTTGTTTACTTGTCTTGGGAAGACTGTAAATAGCTAGTTACTAGTACCTGTTTGGAAATGGAATAAGAACTAGGATGCCGTGATGTATGTCTGTCATTTTAACCAAACAGATCACACCCATTAAAGAATGTAGATGTTTGGGTGTGTTTCGGGCTTTTGAGATTAGGAGATAATTATTTCTCATCTAAGCATCCTGATCATTCACTGACTATCTGTGCAGAAAGAAGCAGCAACAAAATAAAGTGATAGGGTTTGGGATTGTTTGGAGAAATATTCTTTATATGCAGTACTTTAATTTTATAGTCTTATATATCCTATGTTAAAAGACTTTCCGATACTCCACGGGATGAACTTTTGAATCATTTTTGAAGCAAGATTACTGGATGACATTTAAAAAGGGTTAAAAACACTTTTCTAAAAAGTCTATGTATTGAGACCTTTATTTAAGGTCATGTGAAGGTCTTGTTAAATTGGTTTGTTAACTAACATCAGGTTTGCTATACTGCTGATATTTAATACTAAACTTGATGAAGTAGGAGATTGAACATTGATGCTTCATTTTTTGAAGGGTTGAGAGTTTGAATCCAAGAGGTACCCATATCAATCTTGAATATGAGTAGTAATGAGAGAACAAAGTCTGTGACACCATGTCCTTTTGATAGTATATTGAGAGCAGAGATTAGGGTTGGCTGGATTTAGTTCATTAGGATACATTTGGATTAAATATGAGTAGGGTTTCCTTAGTTGTATGTGGACCTGGAGTTTGTTTTGTGTTGGTATCTGAAATTATTTCTTCATTAACACTGATTGATCTCTCTTCTCTTTCTTGACCTCTAACACCATGTTCTGGTAATACCTTTTTTAATAGCTTTTTTTTTTTCTAGTTTCATATCCTAGCTTAAGTGTTTTATTATCTCATACTTGCATTCAGCAGTGACATCTGGTTTCAGTCTTATATATAACTACACATGTATTGAGTTTACAAAGAACTTTGATAGTTGCTTGGTATATACTCTCTGACTTCATATTCTTTAAATTGGACAGTATATACATTCTTTTAAAATTCTGTTTTTGTAATATTCCTGCGAGTTTAGTTATAAGAGAATTCATGTTTCACAGTTCAGATTTGAGCTAACAAAAAGGTGTGATGTCCTCCCCCAATATTACAGAGAAATGAGTTTCAGAGTTTAGATTCAAACTTAGGTTTTCTGCTGCAAGTTCTTTTCTCTTTCTGTTTTACTATACTGTGATTATTTCAGTAAATCCTGTGGTATGATTGAAATAGAAATAGTTTTGAGGTCAATGGTATATTCTACAAATATCTAATGAGTACCTGTGCTTTTTTCTAGGTTCTTAGAGTAAAATAGTTTTTATCCTTACAGAATTTAGAAAAGGGAAAATTCTACCCCTTATCCCCAAAGGAAGGTGATGTTTGAGGGCTGTCAAGGAAATGATAGCCAGATAGAAATAAAGATGAGAAGAACCTTCTTAAAATATTGTTCGTGAAAAGTTTGATGAATTGATATTTATGCAGAATAAAAATAGTCTGTAGAAAGAAGAGTGTATATTAGTTCCCTAAGATGAAAATAGCATAATACCGTCCTAGAACTGGAAAACACCAATGTGGCTTAAGTATGGTGAGCAATAAGGAGGTTGCTAGAGGCCAAGCAGAGAGAAGCAGCCAGGCATCCTGTTCTTTGCTCAGGAGTCAGACTGTTTATTTTAGTTCTACACAAGCCAATTAGGGTATAAATAGAAAAATTGAACTGTGACAAATGCTACTCATATAAAAAGTTCTGTAAGAAGACAAAAGAGTAAACAGAATCTGAAAACCCAAGAAAGATTCCTAAAAAGAAAATCTCCAAATTAGGGCCTGGTAGATAATTAATTTGCTAGAATGAACCATGGAAGAAATACTCTTTTGGAGAGGGTACTGTTAAAAAAACACATGCTTTGGAGTATTTAAAAAACAAAATGTTGGAGTAGAGGTAGGCTATAAAAGACAGGGCAGAGAAGAAACTAGTGGAAAGGATTGGTGATATTATAGACCAGATTGTAAATAGCTGAAGAAATCAGGCTAATAATTTTGGATATAACTGCTGTTTCTCTGCCTATATATAGCTGTTTTTAAAGAAATGGAAGAAGTAGTTGTCATCAGAAATGTCTTAAGAGTCTGGGGAAAGGCTGGAGACAAGCACAGCATCCAATAGGGCTGTATGACACAGACATCTAAGAAGAGCTAATCAAAGTTTAAGTTAATATTAGCTATAAGGGTGGAGAAAGGAAAGAATGGAAAATATTTTGAGTGCATTTATGGTACTCAGTGTGAGACTTGGACAACTGAGATTTCTAGGTTTGATGAAATGGGTGTATCATTCCTTATATAGGAAACTGAAGAGAAGCACATCTTTGATATGCACATTTAGAGGGAAGATTGTTTAGAATCTTAAAGTGGTATTATGTCTTCTTCATTTTCTTTGAGGAACATTGTCATTGGTTGTGAAAAGTTTAGTTTTCATGTGTCAACAAAAAAAGTGCCTTGGTAAAATAAAATAGCCTGTTAGCAGACTTTGTTCTAGTTAGAAGTTTCAAGTGTGAATTGCTACAGGTTGCAATGTGGAATTTATTTTAAATTGTTTTTATAATCATTGTGACAGTAATATCACTCCTAACCAGGATTATATACATTGTAGGACTTCAGTGTGTAGTGTAATGGAATCATTTTCAATTTAAGTTAGTTTCAGGAATAGTAGAAAGACAAGAGAACTAACTTTCAGTCATGTTCAAATGAGTCTTGGTGGCTTTGGAAAGTCAACTTCTGTATTAACCTTTGTATTTTAAAAGGAGCAAAAGGGGCTACCCAAGGCCTCACATTTATTGTAGTCTGGAATTCTGTGTACTTTTGTATCTTTATCTATTACCATGGATAATACTTCTTTCATCTGTAATAAGAAAGGAATTCAAATTAGTTTATTGAACCTTTCCCTAGAAACAGCATTAAGTTATTCTGCTTAATAAATTGATAGGTTGATGTTAGATATTCCACTGACAGGTTCATTGGCCATACTGCAATTTCACCTTTATGACTAACCGGTAAACATAAATAGTATGAAAATAGAAATACCACAGCAGCCCTAGATCCTACCATAGTGAACTACTTTTAAAAACGGCAATCTCTGAGGAAAACTTTATGCCATTTTCTTATACATTTTTTGATGACTAATTTTCTGCTCAAATGAACATCTGAGCAGTGTGTATTCACTTTTTCTGTGTTTGCGATTCCATGTATTAGGGAAAAAATAAAATATGAGGTTATTAGTTACCTTTTTAAGAAAACAGCTCTTCATCTGAGTACTAATCTTAATAGTTATTAATTAGTAATATAAAATAATTTTTACATTTGATTATTTCAAGATTGCTAAGCAACAGAACCCTTAATACCTTAGCTTATGATAAATTGATATTGCAGCAAAAAATATTGACATGTTTTAGTCTACTATATTTTCCTCACATAATAGCTGCACTTTGATGTATATATATTTTGGCCTGAATTAGAGGTGTGACTTACGAGGGAAATTTTTTTTTTCCTTCAGCTCCTATGTTCTACACCTCCTGCTGCCCCTATCCTTTGCCACCAGTGTTCTCAGGTCCTGCTGGGGGGACAGAGAAGATCAGAGGTGAAGGGTAGAGATGGCAGAAAGTGGGGTTGGAGCAGTGGGCTGGAGGTAGGGTAAGGAGCATGCAGAAAAAGATCAAAGGTGGATCAGCGGGAGGTGGGAGGGGGTTGATGGGGAGCAGAAAATATGATAGTTAGAGGGCAAATAAAAACTACCTTAAAGGAAAAATGTTTTTAAACATCTAGGGGTGATTATTTGGATGATTAAATTAAATTTAAATTAAATATAGTACCTGGTTTATCTATGTTGCCAGTGTGACCCTATTATACACAGGATAAAATCTATGAGTTTACATACTGTCTTACCAGTAGGTTACCTGTCTAATTAATCACTGACAAAACTTGATTTTCATTGTAGATCAAAGACCAAGCTCACCAATTCGACATCAGGGAAGGAATGACGAGCTTGAGCGTGATGAAAGAAGAGAGGAACGAAGAGTAGAGAGAGTGGATGATAGAAGAGATGAAAGGGCCAGAGAAAGAGATCGAGAGCGAGACCGAGAACGGGAAAGAGAGAGGGAGCGAGAGCGGGATCGGGAAAGAGAGAAAGAAAGAGAACTAGAAAGAGAACGTGCTAGGGAACGTGAGAGAGAAAGAGAGAAAGAGCGGGACCGTGAAAGAGAGAGAGACCGCGACCATGACAGAGAGAGGGAGAGGGAAAGGGATAGAGACAGAGAAAAAGAACGGGAACGAGAGAGAGAAGAAAGGGAAAGGGAGAGAGAGAGAGAACGGGAGAGGGAGAGAGAACGAGAGCGGGAACGAGAAAGAACTAGAGAAAGGGATAAAGAAAGAGAACGTCAGAGGGATTGGGAAGACAAAGACAAGGGACGGGATGAACGCAGAGAAAAGCGAGAAGATATCCGCGAGGACAGGAACCCAAGAGATGGACATGATGAGAGAAAGTCAAAGTAAGTAAAGAATTTGAAAAGTTCCATTGAGTGCTTTCCTGTGTGCTTTTAATATCCTTTTCATCCTTTTTCCTCACTATATTTTCCTGTATTTCAACTTTATATATTTGTTCAAAATCTTTTGAATTGTCTTTCGAGAGTGGTAATTTTCTCAGTCTACATTTTTTTACTTTTTTTCTCTTATTTTAAAATTTGATTTCTTACATTGTTCATTTTTGTACAGTATTTGATTTCTCCCCTCAGATGTTGTCCCAATAAATACCCCACTGGTACACCATCACCAAATCTATAGTTGCCTACATGTTTTGTCCTTTTTTTGAGCCTTTGTTCAGTTTCCTTAAATTCCTCCTATAAGTGATATCATCTGTTATTTTTCTTTTTCCTTCTGGCCTATTTCACTGAATATAATCCCTCCCAGCTCCACCCATGTTGCTGCAAACCAGTCTACAAATTCTGTCATACAAAATAGTTAATCATGTTTTGCTTACCGCGTCCTTTTTGGTTACTCATTAACTTATTCACCTGCCACTGATTTATTTTTGCGAGACTCCAGTATAAAAGTGAGAATCCGTAAACTTATATTCCATCACATCTATTTTATAACTAGTTAATAGTGCTGACCTGTCAGCAAGAGATACTGCCTTTGCTATTCTTGATAATCCTTAATGAGAACTTGTAAATTTGGAGTATTACCCCAGGCTAGAGGAGCATTCACAGTGTCTTAGAACTGAGGGAGTTCCTGTTAGCTCTGCATGGCTCGATAAGAAATAGCATGGTGTCCTCACAGTCTTTGCAATTATAATTGGCTATTGAGACTAAAAGCGTGCTCTTATTATCTCATGATATATCTGAGGATATATTCTTCCTTTTCACTTTTTATTTTTTTGTTTTTTTTTTTTTAAGCTAACAAGAATTTATTTACTTAGGTAGCTGGGAAGTTCCAAGTTAACTTTTAGTTGTGAAATGACTGTTCCCATATTCTCAAAAGTTAAGGAATGTTACTTCTCCACTTTTTTTTTCTGTGACAGGTCTTGTCTTAAAAAGGTTTTCTCTATAAACTTGTAGTCGCCTTGGCTGTGGTGACTAAGATAGACTCACGTTAAATCTCTCAGCATAGCAGCCCTCTTTGTGTTGAGGTACTTGTTAGCTGAGGAGTCATAGGGGCGCTAAGCCAATGATTATATCCAAGAGAACCCTGGAGTCAAGTTGCTCCATTTTTAGTTTTATGATTACAAAACCAAACATTGAAGTTAGCTACTTTTTAAAAAAAAATGGAGTAAAAGGATGGTTATGCTTGCTAAAACAAACTTTGAAAGTAATTTATATATGTTCCTTTGCTCCTGCCTCCATTGCATTTAACTAATGGGAAATATAGGCTTCCTTTTTTAGATATTTTTTATCAATGCTGTTTTGGGTTATGATTATAGACAAACAGCCCAAATGGAGGCATGTTTTATTAAGTCTCAGATTTCCTTCAGCATATATCCAACGTTTTCTGTAACAGCCTCTGGCTTCCCTCTCTGCATTAAAAAAATCTTATATTAATATAAAATTCAGTTACTGCCTTTAACAAACCTAGGCACACAATAACAAATTATTTTTTTTCCCAACTGACCTTTTTAGCTATCTTTCATCTCAGATAGAAATTTTGAAATCTTTTGTTATTTATATTATCCTGTCCTATAAATTAACATGTATTTTTCCATGTTTCTGATCTGCTTTTAACAGAAAAGTTATTGCTTTTTTTTTTTTTTTTTTTGTCTTTTAACAAGTCACAAATATTTACTGGGGCCCAGAGGACGGAGACAACAAAGATGGGTCTAAATCAACCCCACAACTACTCCATTGTGGAGCTTAATGGGACAGGACATGTTCATGCTGTTCTTCAGTTCAGTTTAGTGACCCTTCACATTAACTTTGC